ATAATGTATGCTGTATGTATACAATGTATTATATAATGTATCCTGTATGTATACAATGTATTATATAATGTGTCCTGTATGTATACAATGTATTATATAATGTGTCCTGTATGTATACAATGTATTATATAATGTATGCTGTATGTATACAATGTATTATATAATGGATCCTGTATGTATACAATGTATTATATAATGTGTCCTGTATGTATACAATGTATTCATATAATGTGTCCTGTATGTATACAATGTATCATATAATGTATGCTGTATGTATACAATGTATTATATAATGTATGCTGTATGTATACAATGTATTATATAACGTGTCCTGTATGTATACAATGTATTATATAATGTATCATGTACAGTCAGGTCCATAAATATTGGGACATGGACACAATTCTAACATTTTTGGTAACCGGTAACCGGTCATTGGTGCGTCTGTGGCTGGATACATCTTCTGCATGGATGGATGACATCTAGTGGTGGCCCTACAGATGACACCCCCTTGTTCCAGTGATACAGTGGCTGAGTACCAGGGGAGGTCTTAAATGCCCCATGTGCTATTTATGCGCTATCTGGTTAGTGCACTATTTGACTATTCTTATCACCACGAAAGTCACTCTTTATTTATGGTTTTTGGCATATCGAAGACTGTATGCACACTTCATCTCAGCACTTTTGATGAACTCTCGCCGGCATTTTACTAATCCACTGACATCAAGTCATTATATGTGTTTTATCATACATTTGTGTAGCGCTGCACTCTTATTCTTTATCATTTACTGTGGAGGTTCCCGAGGTGCCTTTTTTGTTGCCAGCGGCTACCATATTTATACACTGCGCTCGATTTTTTTTATATATAAGTTTTATTCTATCATTATCCCCTGTTCTCGGGAACGGACTTGAACTGCCCATTGTTTCAGTCCATCCCGCTAATATATCCACCCATGGATTTATGAAATAATAATTAGTCCCACAAATCCGTGCTACAAAATCCTTACATGTCTCCCCTGGTTTGGGACAAGGTGTAGCTTTACTCTTAACTTGTCCCATTCTGTCTATTCTAAAAGATTTTACAGATTCAGAAGAGAAGAAAAGAAAAGTGAAAGTGATTCACAGTGCTCGACTGCCACCTGAGGTTTTAATTCAGATGCGTCTTCCCAAAACGTGAATCTAGTCACATATGTACCTTCTCAAGTCGAGTGATCTGTGACCAATTATCACTCTTATCACAAAAAATATAGAAAGACAGAGAGAGAGAGAGAGAATACACAACTTTTCCTACTCTGTACCCTGAAAAGGACACTCTATATAATAATATCCTTTGTCTCTAACCTGTCTTTTAACTTCTTCCACTGTAAGTCCCTCTTGAAATTCTACTGGACAATGTAAATTTACCTTTTCTACCTGTATTTTAGGACTACCTTGATGAAAGAAAAGTCTTTTGCCTAATCTATGTTTATATCTGTCAGGAATGGACTTGCCAGTAATGGTGGGACTCACCTGCCTTGTGGGCTGCAGTACCAGGGCTGGCCAGCGGGTACTCTCAGCAATCAGAGACTCAACCCTGCAGCCAGCCAAACACCTGAAGCTGATTACGGAGGTGTATTTAAGGGATGGCCAGACCTGCAGTCTGTACCTTGGTGTGTGGTTTTCCTGGGCTCCTGTATCTTGTTACCTGCATCCCTGTTCCTGTTCCTGTCCCTGTCCCTGTCTGACTGATTCGTTGCCGACCCTGCCTGATCCGGACCTCTGCTGACTTCTCCTGTTTGATCCCTGGCTTGTGACCCCGACCATTCTCTGCCTGACCCCCTGTACCTACCTGCCCGTTAGTTGCTGTACCCGGCTCGTGACCTGACTACTCTCTGCCTGCTCCTCCTGTTCCTACCTGCCCGATTGTTATTGACCCGGCCTGCCTGACGACACTTGCATTGTATGTATTGTTATCTGTGGGTGGTTTGGTTTGGTTCGTTTGCACTGTGTTATGTTTTAGTATTGCACTGCGTTTATGTTTGTATTGTTAGTCTTTAATAAATTGTCTTATTGTTTATAACATATCTGAAGCCCGCATTTCCCTGCGTCAGTTCACATACCTCTGGTCATACCCTGGAGCCCTGACAATATCCTTTTTCTACCTTACTCACAAGGTAACCTCCAGGAATACAATTAGAGATGAGCGAAGTATTCAAAAATTCGATTCGGCTGATTCGGCGAATTCGCGGAATAAATTTGATTCGAGTCGAATATATTCGCTGCAAATTTAACTTATAAAAAGGGTGTTTCTTGGCTTCAGAGAGCCTTTATATTAGTGCAGAACACTGTACCTTTAATTTAAATGCCCTTGGAGTCTGCTGGGGAAGAGAAATAATACTGTCAGTCAGTAAGACATGCAGATGAGTGCCGTCGATCTTAGAATCACCGCACACTTCACTCATTTGGGCAGTCACGGGGCCAAAACCAGAGTGTGGAGCCACAGTGTGGCGGTGGAGGCAGCAGCAATGGGAGGCCATACAGCACCCTATGACAAAATGGAACCCACCAGCAGTGTGAGGAGACCTGAAAGTGGCACATGGCAGAGTGTGGCGATTGAGACAGCAGCAATGGGAGGCCGTACAGGGACCCATGACACACTCTGGACCTGGCAGCAGCATGAGGAGGCGGTACGGGGGCCCATGGCAGATTACGGGCCTGGCAGCAGCAATGGGAGGCCCGTAATCTGCCAGCACCCTATGACAAAATGGAACCCACCAGCAGTGTGAGGAGACCTGAAAGTGGCACATGGCAGAGTGTGGCGATGGAGACAGCAGCAATGGGAGGCCGTACAGGGACCCATGAGACACTCTGGACCTGGGCAGCAGCATGAGGAGGCGGTACGGGGGCCCATGGCAGATTACGGGCCTGGCAGCAGCAATGGGAGGCCCGTAATCTGCCAGCACCCTATGACAAAATGGAACCCACCAGCAGTGTGAGGAGACCTGAAAGTGGCACATGGCAGAGTGTGGCGATGGAGACAGCAGCAATGGGAGGCCGTACAGGGACCCATGAGACACTCTGGACCTGGCAGCAGCATGAGGAGGTGGTACGGGGGCCCATGGCAGATTACGGGCCTGGCAGCAGCAATGGGAGGCCTGTAATGTGCCAGCACCCTATGACAAAATGGAACCCACCAGCAGTGTGAGGAGACCTGAAAGTGGCACATGGCACAGTGTGGCGATGGAGACAGCAGCAATGGGAGGCCGTACAGGGACCCATGAGACACTCTGGACCTGGCAGCAGCATGAGGAGGCGGTACGGGGGCCCATGGCAGATTACGGGCCTGGCAGCAGCAATGGGAGGCCCGTAATCTGCCAGCACCCTATGACAAAATGGAACCCACCAGCAGTGTGAGGAGACCTGAAAGTGGCACATGGCAGAGTGTGGCGATGGAGACAGCAGCAATGGGAGGCCGTACAGGGACCCATGACAGATTACGGGCCTGGCAGCAGCATGAGGAGGCGGTACAGGGGCCCATGGCAGATTACGGGCCTGGCAGCAGCAATGGGAGGCCCGTAATCTGCCAGCACCCTATGACAAAATGGAACCCACCAGCAGTGTGAGGAGACCTGAAAGTGGCACATGGCAGAGTGTGGCGATGGAGACAGCAGCAATGGGAGGCCGTACAGGGACCCATGAGACACTCTGGACCTGGCAGCAGCATGAGGAGGCGGTACGGGGGCCCATGGCAGATTACGGGCCTGGCAGCAGCAATGGGAGGCCCGTAATCTGCCAGCACCCTATGACAAAATGGAACCCACCAGCAGTGTGAGGAGACCTGAAAGTGGCACATGGCACAGTGTGGCGATGGAGACAGCAGCAATGGGAGGCCGTACAGGGACCCATGAGACACTCTGGACCTGGCAGCAGCATGAGGAGGCGGTACGGGGGCCCATGGCAGATTACGGGCCTGGCAGCAGCAGCAATGGGAGGCCCGTAATCTGCCAGCACCCTATGACAAAATGGAACCCACCAGCAGTGTGAGGAGACCTGAAAGTGGCACATGGCAGAGTGTGGCGATGGAGTTGGCAGCAATGGGAGGCCGTACAGGGACCCATGACAGATTACGGGCCTGGCAGCAGCATGAGGGAGGCGGTACAGGGGCCCATGGCAGATTACGGGCCTGGCAGCAGCAATGGGAGGCCCGTAATCTGCCAGCACCCTATGACAAAATGGAACCCACCAGCAGTGTGAGGAGACCTGAAAGTGGCACATGGCAGAGTGTGGCGATGGAGACAGCAGCAATGGGAGGCCGTACAGGGACCCATGAGACACTCTGGACCTGGCAGCAGCAGCATGAGGAGGCGGTACGGGGGCCCATGGCAGATTACGGGCCTGGCAGCAGCAATGGGAGGCCCGTAATCTGCCAGCACCCTATGACAAAATGGAACCCACCAGCAGTGTGAGGAGACCTGAAAGTGGCACATGGCACAGTGTGGCGATGGAGACAGCAGCAATGGGAGGCCGTACAGGGACCCATGAGACACTCTCTGGACCTGGCAGCAGCATGAGGGCGGTACGGGGGCCCATGGCAGATTACGGGCCTGGCAGCAGCAATGGGAGGCCCGTAATCTGCCAGCACCCTATGACAAAATGGAACCCACCAGCAGTGTGAGGAGACCTGAAAGTGGCACATGGCAGAGTGTGGCGATGGAGACAGCAGCAATGGGAGGCCGTACAGGGACCCATGACAGATTACGGGCCTGGCAGCAGCATGAGGAGGCGGTACAGGGGCCCATGGCAGATTACGGGCCTGGCAGCAGCAATGGGAGGCCCGTAATCTGCCAGCACCCTATGACAAAATGGAACCCACCAGCAGTGTGAGGAGACCTGAAAGTGGCACATGGCAGAGTGTGGCGATGGAGACAGCAGCAATGGGAGGCCGTACAGGGACCCATGAGACACTCTGGACCTGGCAGCAGCATGAGGAGGCGGTACGGGGGCCCATGGCAGATTACGGGCCTGGCAGCAGCAATGGGAGGCCCGTAATCTGCCAGCACCCTATGACAAAATGAAACCCACCAGCAGTGTGAGGAGACCTGAAAGTGGCACATGGCACAGTGTGGCGATCGATGGAGACAGCAGCAATGGGAGGCCGTACAGGGACCCATGAGACACTCTGGACCTGGCAGCAGCATGAGGAGGCGGTACGGGGGCCCATGGCAGATTACGGGCCTGGCAGCAGCAATGGGAGGCCCGTAATCTGCCAGCACCCTATGACAAAATGGAACCCACCAGCAGTGTGAGGAGACCTGAAAGTGGCACATGGCAGAGTGTGGCGATGGAGACAGCAGCAATGGGAGGCCGTACAGGGACCTATGACAGATTACGGGCCTGGCAGCAGCATGAGGAGGCGGTACAGGGGCCCATGGCAGATTACGGGCCTGGCAGCAGCAATGGGAGGCCCGTAATCTGCCAGCACCCTATGACAAAATGGAACCCACCAGCAGTGTGAGGAGACCTGAAAGTGGCACATGGCAGAGTGTGGCGATGGAGACAGCAGCAATGGGAGGCCGTACAGGGACCCATGAGACACTCTGGACCTGGCAGCAGCATGAGGAGCGGTACGGGGGCCCATGGCAGATTACGGGCCTGGCAGCAGCAATGGGAGGCCCGTAATCTGCCAGCACCCTATGACAAAATGGAACCCACCAGCAGTGTGAGGAGACCTGAAAGTGGCACATGGCAGAGTGTGGCGATGGAGACAGCAGCAATGGGAGGCCGTACAGGGACCCATGAGACACTCTGGACCTGGCAGCAGCATGAGGAGGCGGTACGGGGGCCCATGGCAGATTACGGGCCTGGCAGCAGCAATGGGAGGCCCGTAATCTGCCAGCACCCTATGACAAAATGGAACCCACCAGCAGTGTGAGGAGACCTGAAAAGTGGCACATGGCACAGTGTGGCGATGGAGACAGCAGCAATGGGAGGCCGTACAGGGACCCATGAGACACTCTGGACCTGGCAGCAGCATGAGGAGGCGGTACGGGGGCCCATGGCAGATTACGGGCCTGGCAGCAGCAATGGGAGGCCCGTAATCTGCCAGCACCCTATGACAAAATGGAACCCACCAGCAGTGTGAGGAGACCTGAAAGTGGCACATGGCAGAGTGTGGCGATGGAGACAGCAGCAAAGGGAGGCTGTACAGGGACCCATGAGACACTCTGGACCTGGCAGCAGCAAGAGGAGGCGGTACAGGGGCCCATGGCAGAGTGGCGAAGCGTAAGTAGCTTAAATTGAAGGCCATACAGAGGCCTATGTTAAAAATAATAAGATGTTTGGGGCATGATTCATGGCGGATTTAGTCAGTTTGTGTCAAGAACTGGTGGTTTGAAATCCAGACTAATCCACGCCTGATTCATTTTCACAAACGTGAGTCTCTCCACAGACAATTCTGTAACAATTCTGTGTCCCTCAGTAACAATCCTGTGTCCCTCAGTAACTATTCTGTGTCCCTCAGTAACAATTCTGTGTCTGTCCCTGAGTAACAATTCTGTGTCCCTGAGTAACAGTTCTGTGTCCCTGAGTAACAATTCTGTGTCCCTGAGTAACAGTTCTGTGTCCCTGAGTAACAATTCTGTGTCCCTGAGTAACATTCTGTGTCCCCTCAGTAACAATTCTGTGTCCCTGAGTAACAATTCTGTGTCCCTGAGTAACAATTCTGTGTCCCTCAGTAACAATTCTGTGTCCCTCAGTAACAATTCTGTGTCCCTGAGTAACAATTCTGTGTCCCTGAGTAACAGTTTTGTGTCCCTGAGTAACAATTCTGTGTCCCTCAGTAACAATTCTGTGTCCCTCAGTAACAATTCTGTGTCTGTCCCTGAGTAACAAATCTGTGTCCCTGAGTAACAATTCTGTGTCCCTAAGTAACGATTCTGTGGCCCTAAAGTCTCTTTGGCCCTAACTCTGTCCCTAATACAGAGAGGTCTGTCTCTCTTGAATGACCGGAGGCTAATGGAGAATTCTAAGATGGCCGCAATTTATAGCTCGACCATTACACAGTGCTGGCTGGCTGGCTGCTGATTGGCTAATGCGATCACATGTCATGAATGAATGCATTATGGGTCAGCGCGCCTTGTCTGCGCGCCTTCCCAGAGATCCCCGCTCCGTCGCCACACATGTCGCCGCCTTTTTTGGAAAATTTCGATTCGCGCATCCGAAAAATCGAATTTTTCCTAATCTTCGAAATGAATTCCACTTCGCCAAGTTCGATTCGCTCATCTCTAAATACAATGATTAAAAAGTAGCCCTCATACACATTCAGGACAAGTCATTTGCAAAACTTTTATTCCGTAACTACCAGTCCATACACTTACCACCTGGACATCGGTGTCACACAACAAATTATCTTATACTTTACGCGACAGAAAGATAACCAACAGAATTTTGGCAGCCCAAACCCACCGTGTCAATATTTTCTTATTTCCTGGACAACCAATGTCCCTGGACATCCAATGTCCTTAAAGTACATATACATTATTTTCTGGACATCCAATGTCCTCAAACTACTTCCCAAAAGTACATACACATTTTCTGGACATCCAATGTCCTTAAAGTACTTCCCAAAAGTACTTATGCCGGCCGGCAATTTTTTACACTATACCCTTTCATTAAAACATGCTTCCAAAGTATGTGGGCATCGAAACTCAGCCAGAGCCTAGTCACGGTAAATATCAGAAAATTTAAATCAAATACTTACCGGATAGGATAGGATGACGCTCCAATCCCGGGACGAGCCCCCAATCTGAAAGGGATTTTCCTTTAATGACCACTGGCAGGTTTTGGCCCCCGTTGGATCCAAGAGACTGCTCTCTGTAAGGAAGAAAATTTTCACGCACACAAAGCCTTCCAGACAGCAATCTGAAACTTTATTCATAGATTCTTCTTCTTATATTGTAACAAAGAAAACCATAGAATAGGATTTCGCTGGATACTTGTCAAGGCTGTGAACGTGAACAATTTAGATTTCTCAGACCTTGAATCAGTTACAAGTAACCAACAGTTATTTTCCCATGGAACAGAAGTAATTGACTTTTAACTATATCATAGCAGAAACAGGTGCTTTTAGTACAAATAAATAATTGGTTAGTTTTCATGCCTTGAACAGAACTAGATTTAAAAGAATACATGGGTGCAGGCCTATAGCACGTAACTGACACACACAACTATACATTTAATTATCTAGACAAAATATAAAATAAGAAAAATGGAGGGCGAGGAACATACATTTCCCTTCAATAATACTTTTCAATCAGCAGCCGATTCCCATGACACGGCCTAGAGCAGCTTCCAATGCTGATTCCAATAGCAAAGATGGCCGCTCCGCCACTTCCGGTTTACGCATTACGTCAGACGTCACGTCATCTGGCGCGTTTCATCACTTCCTGACTTCTTTTAAAGGGATACAGACGTCTGAACGGCAGTTCCTCTTATCTCCACCTGCCTAATTGGCAAGGAGTCCATTATTAACCAGGGCAAAGCATGATATTGTCAGGGCAGAGTGCGATATTGCCACAAAATCATCCCAATAACTGAATTGCCGAACTAATTTGTTACAATTTGATCATGGACCACTATAACTTATAACCATAAGATAAGGGTACATGATATCTGTAAAAGGAGTACAACATGTGTATATATTACAACTCTGGGGAAACATAGATGTAAGATGAATAAGTACACAATACACATATTGAACCTGTGGGGAACAACAATTATAAATAATAGGAATAAATATTTTATTATTAATCCTCTATGACCCTCTATTATATACTACCAATGTACTATCCTCATTCTAATAGATAAACATATATATACTCCATTCCCTATACCACTAATTCTATCTGCGCCATCTAATGGTAAAACTCTATATTGCACTATATTTATATTATACATAAAAAACTTTATTATTTATTTAAATATTTAAAAGCAACACAATCATAATAAACATCATATGTTAATAACTCAATCCTTTTTTGTGAAAAAAGTTCCATATATCTATATAATTAATATTATTTTTAAATTGTTTTTTATATATATAAAACTATTATATTCTAAAACCAACCTAATGAGGTCAAACTTGCAATACAATTCTAATAAATAAATGATTAATAAATATATTCCTTATAAATAAATCCATCTAAAATAATAAATAATGTAAAACTTATTTTAAAAATTATATAAAATTATTTATTACACTTATTTGTTTTTATATATATATATATCCTTCCCCTATTTGTATTCCTTCTATGAACACACTGTAATTACAAATTAAAAATTATCTTCCATTTTGCTTGAGGTGATTGTAGCCGTATTAGTGCATTTGCGACAGAAACCATTGAGTACTGACATGATACTTTTTTTTATTTGCACTAACATACAATTTTTAATTTTTAATTTTATGACCCCTTCTGTGAGTGATGTTCCCCCCCACCCCCCCAGTCTTTGCTTTTGCTGTGTCTTATCTCTAGTCAAATCCTAGTCTTTTAACCATTGCTGTGTACATTTGTTTGTGTGTGTTTCTTTCTGGTTTTTTTTGTTTTGTTTTGTTTTTTTTGTTTTTTCCTCCCCCTTTCAACATCTCTTCTAACATTCTGCTAAAACTTTGTGAAGTAGTACTGCCAGGACCTTGAAGAATGGGACATACCCCGAAAGCTTGTCCTCAAAATTGTATGTTAGTGCAAATAAAAAAAGTATCACGTCAGTACTCAAATTAAAATAATTAAAAATAAAACAGTTAAGGTCTAGTTCTATATTTAAACCTTTGGGTTTTAAAGCTCCCAACTGGAATATCCAAAACGTTTCATTTTTTTATATACTTTGGATTTGGATCTTATTACCGCCTCTCCAATGTGGTTTCACAGTGTCTATCCCACAAACTTTCAGTAACTAGGATCACACTTATGATATTCTTTAAAATGTCTCGATACACTCTGATCCTTTTTGCCTTTTTAATGTTGGCTACATGTTCATGTTCCCAGTCTTTCATGGGGGGGTCTTTTAGATCTTCCCACATATTGGAGCTGGCAAGGGCACTCCAACAAATGCGTAACATATTTCGTAGAACATGTGATAAATTTCTTAAGTTTAAATTCCTCTCCTGTGGTACAGGAGATACATTTTTAGATATAACTCTACTATCTATACCAGTAGTTCTGCATATTTTACATTTTTTACACGAATAAAATCCTTTTAGATCAAACATTTGTATTTTTGGGAGGAGAGATGACACCTTTCACTAACGTATTCCGTAAGTTATTTGTTTTTCTGTATATAAATGCTGGTTAATCTGGTAAAAAATGGCCCTAAAACTTTATCCTTCTTAATAATCGACCAATATTTCTTAAAAATTGCTTCCATGTCTTTATGTTGACAATTAAAAAAGAGAAATAAAAGAAAATTCCACTTTATCTTTTTCCTGTATTTTTAAAGCATGATTAACCTTAATCTTACCATCCCCCAGATAATTCTGGCTGATTTTAAATCTAATTCTTTCTAGTTTATCAGGATCATATCCTTTTTGTATAAATCTTTCCTTGATAATATTCAATTGTTCAATATAATCTACCAATCTTGAACAGGTCCTCATAATCACCATACCCAAGGGACAGTTCACTAGGATTATGAGGAACTGTTCAAGATTGGTAGATTATATTGAACAATCGAATACTATCAAGGAAATATTTATACAAAAAGGATATGATCCTGATAAACTAGAAAAAATTAGATTTTAAAATCAGCCAGAATTATCTGGGGGGGATGGTAAGATTAATTAAGGTTAATCGTGC